TATAAAAATCCCGCAAGACCTGTTTTAGTTTTGATAAAATTAATAAAAAAAAATAAAATATAAAGAAATAAAAAAAACCCTTCCCTCCCTCAGCCCTCATTTTTGATAAAAATTTCGAGGTTATGTTTTTCTTCAACGCCGGTTCACATAGAGAGTCGTCTTAATAACTTATAGTATAGGAGTAGAAAAAAATATATATTCAGGTTAGCAAAATATACATTTAGTTGACATGACATGTACAAAATACTGTAAAAATAATTTTTATACATAAGATAATTATTATTGTCAAAGCTCAGAAAATTATTTTTTAGTTTGTCTTCGCTTTAATCCAATAACGGTTTGATCGGCTCCTTTAGGTCTTCCTTTTATTTTAATTTTGGGCGGTAATACTATTTCACTTATTACTAAAAAAAATAATATTTTATAGCGATTACAAATAAAACGTATCTATGAAAATCTTACTTCTGATTTTTTCGTTGCTTTCCATAGTTAAAACTGATTCCCCATGTCCACTTTCGATTTTTTGCCAATTTTCAGTAAAAATTTTTTCTTCGTTAGGTACTAAAATTTCATTAACATCTAGAAAAGAAAAAATATTGTTAATTATATGAGTTTATTTTAACAATAATATCAAATAAGCAACAAACCAGTTATATTTGAGTCTAAGATGTCTTTTGGTATAGTTAGTTGACCATGTCCATTTATAGATAAAATGTCCTTGTTATTTTGTTCTTCCATTAGATCTTTGAATTCAACTTCTACATTAGGCAATTCGTCAGTTACTAAAATCTCATTAACATCAGCTAGAAAAGAAGGAATATTGTTAATTATATAAGTTTATTTTAACAATAATTTTAAAGCTCAACAAACCAGTTATATTTGAGTCCAAGATGTCTTTTGGCATAGTTAGTTGACCATGTCCATTTACAGATACAATTTCCTTGTTATTTTGTTCTTCGTTTAGATCTATGAATTCAATGTGTACATTAGATATGTCAAAAAAATCATTTGGATCTTCATTATTTGTAATGCTCTGATCTGTATTTTCGTCAGTGCTGCTAGGAATTACATTTATGGCTATTTCATGACCTTCTCTCCAAACAGTTTCTATTGCTTCCAGTATCTTCATTTTGTAAATAAATGAACTACCGGAAGATAGACTAGCTAAATTTGCCAACGAATTTGTCATAAAAAGAGCCTTTTTTCTCTTTTGGTTTACTGTCTGTACACTAGAAGAACCAAGCCTGTGTCACAGAAAAGGGTTGCAAAGAAATGTTCTCGCTTGTAGTGGTAACGCCTTTTGCAACCCTTTGATGTTTTATATAAAATTCTTTTGACCATCTTTCATTGCATAAACTTTTGTCAAATAACTTTATTTTTTCCACTGTTCTAGTGACAAAAATGTGCTTACAGGGTAGAAGCATTTATGTAAAGTGTATGCAAGTACATTTATTTGCTAACTAAAACATTGTATTTGTTCCCATTTGACTCCGCTTCATATATATTCAAAATACGATCTTTTAAAGTAACTGCAACTTTTTTTGAGGCTACGATTTGAAACTGAACATACCTGCTTGCATAGGGTGTTAGATATTCTTCGTACTGGAATTCACAACTATCCTTACTAAACAATGTTATAGGCCTTGTTAAAATTAATCTAGCTGTCCGATTATCCCTTTCATGCTCATGAGAATGTAAGAAAAAAAAACTTTTTACGAATTGTGCTAGGCTACTGTTTTTCTCTATTACTTGCTTTAATTTTCCATTGATTGCTTCCAACCTATTGTTTGTTCTATTTAATAAATTACCATGACACATACTGTAAACCGTCCATTCGTGTTTTATGTCATGCCAGTTTTTGTTGTAGTAGGTAATTACTGACTGTGAAGCAGTTTCTCGCAAAAGTTGATAATTTTTGTCATATTCTTCTTCACTTTGGCTGTAGACAAGACTCTCTAATAGTTCAAGAGTGTTCTTCCGTTCCTGATTTGTTAGATTAATTTTTTCTCTAGATATTTCCCTTTTCATAGTCTTCAAAGTGTGGAATAAACAAATATATACTTGGGCTTGAGGAAAAATTTCTTTGATCACATTTCTTTGTAGTAAATCCTTATCGCCCATAAAACATTTTATTTTATTTTCACAAATAGAATTCTCTTCTTTAAAAATATTCATAAACCATGAAAATGTTTCTTTGTCTTCGTGTGCAGTTAGGGCTACGGCAGCGATTTCACTCTGACCATTCGAATCTTCGACTATCATTACAAACACAGTAAATCCTAGATTTAATAACTTATAGGTACCATCTATAGAGACAAATTCAGGCCAGGATTTAATTGCTCTTCTCATGGAATCAGTAGAAAAATATAGAGCTTTAAATTGGTTTACAGAATCATGTAAAATGTGAACATTGCATTCTGTAAAATAAATATATATGCAGGGTGTCCCGAAATGAGACGGTCATCTTTTAACAGCTTAATCTACATTCTAAAATAGAAGTAAAAGTTCATATAAACATATGTCTGAAAATGTTTCGTCTCCGAGATACAGGGTGTTCTGATGACACATTTTAGGACGCACAATTTTCAAGAGAAAAGCATTTGAAAATTTCATGATAAGTTCATATTATCTTATTCGAAAGTGCAAACAATAATTAGTAGGCCTGTGGAATCAAATATTTTATTTATTTTTTCAGCCTGGAAAACCGGTGAATAAAGAAATTTTAATTTTAATTAATTTTTAAATGTTTATTTTATACACAATCTTGTATTTTCCAAATGGTTTGGTTGGCCTTGGCCCAATAAAACGATTGATGAGAATTTATTTCTTAAACTGTAGACGTTTAAACTATTTATTTAAACTATTTATTTAAACTAATTTTACCCTAAGCTCCCCCTAATTAACCCGTCTATGAAGGTGATCAAAAACTGGGGTTTAGCCCATTAAATATAACGTAAAAAGTTCAGAATCTATACCAAATTTCATTTATTTATCTTTAAACGTTTATAAAATATTTACAAAAATGTGTCATCAGGACTTAACTTTTAACACCCTGTATCTTGAAAACGAAACGTTTTCAGACCTATGTTTAAATGAACTGTTACTCCTATTTTAGCATGAAGTTTACGCTGCTAAAATATTACCGTCTAATTTCAGGACACCCTGTATACGTATATTATATCTATAATAGTAACTCACTGTAAATATTTTTCAATTCCTTTACTACATGTTCTAAATCATTACTAGCACTTTTCATACCATATGCAATGTTTGATAGATCTTTCAATGTGCTCAATTTTCCAGTTGAACACAATATTTTTTGTTGAATTAGCTTTTTATTCCCACGGACATCCATTAAATTCTCGACAATACTTTGTTCATTAGAGTTTAGCTTACGGTTTGATGGCAAATAATCGTACACCACCTGAAAGAGAGAGGGTTATAAAATAACAAATAACCATTAAAATAAAAAAAAATACAAAAAAGTACATATTACACTTACTTCTGACATTTCATGATTTTCATGTTTCTCCACTAATTGTTTAATTTGGAGAAAATCACCTGTCTTAGTAGCCCGAATTTTGATTATGGCTGGACAATTCATTTTGTAAGTTCTAAAACATACATAAAATACACATTCAACACGGGTGTACCGAAGATTCCTAAATAATTAGGTATATCGATTAAATTCACAGAATAACAAATTGACAATAATAAAATTAGTATGTAATTTTTACCTTGTTTTACGATTGCCTTTTCCACGTCTTCTTACTGCACCACCATGAACACAATTATATTGAACTTCGTAATATTTAAGGTCTTCCTTTAATTTACGCTTTAAAATCCTTTCAGCCATTTTAATAGTTCTGCTACCCTTAATCACAAATTTTTGTCTGTTATATTTTTCATATTGTTTTAAAATGTTGTTAAACTCATTAAAAGAATTAAATAATTGTCCACACTGCATAATAAATTCAAACAAACACTAAACAAATCAAAAAATAAGAAATCTTTTTACTAATTAATATTCTAAAGTGTAAATACAACCCGATTAAATAACAAACATACATAACCTCACTGACACTTACTGTACAAGTAAGCGTGTACCAAAAATACAATATTTGTGCACGCTAAATAATGACATCATCGGCTTGATGACGTTTCGCGTGTATCTAACTTTTAGATTTGCGTACAAGTTAGCGTGTACCTAGACACAGCGTAAAATTTAAACTAGTCGATTATTATTACAAAGTTTGAAAACTTTTGTAATTAATGTGAAATGTTCAAAATTGACTGGCCTAAAACTACAGATAAATTATTATCTACTTCACTTTCTTTTCTCTAGTAAGAGATAATTTTCTTATAATTTACCGGATTAATATTTTTATCATATATGTTTCTTTTCTTTTCTTTTCATTTTACTTGTAACTAACTTGTTTCGCGCATCTTCTTGAGCTTTTTGAAGTCTATATTTTAATTCTAGCGGGTAACTATTATAATTGTATAAAGGATCTACAGTGTATCTTAAATTATTTAGGATTACACACACTTTCCCAAAAACTAATTCAAATGGAGTGTATTGGATTTCAGTATAAACAGTTGTGTTATATTAAAAACACCATATGGAACCCAAAAACTCCATGATTAGCTAATGTTTTGTTTTTCAATTCTCAAATATAGCCCTAAAACTTTATGAGAATTTTCTAAAGCCCCAATGCTTTCATGATTCTGTTAATTGAGTTGCTTAATTTGCAATGTTTCGATCATGGTGGTTGATATAAATTCCGAACCATAGCCAGTAGCTATTTCTTTCGTTGTGCCATACCGTAAAATTGTCAACAAAAGCTTTGATCTCCATTTATTCACTTTTAGTAAATTTTTGGTTAGACAACTCTGGCACTGAACCACTCAAATTTGAATTATTTCAGTAATTTACTTACATTTTTTGTAATATATTTGACCTATTCTCGACTGTTTTCATGTCATTGGTATTTTTTCAGGCACAACGTTGCAGTGCGACAGCATGACTCAACTAGTTTCAGCTTCGGGTGCCACAAGTCCTGGACTAGGATCGCATGAGGTCCTTGAATTAGAAATAAAGCGCTTGAGAGAGCGGCTACAAACTGTGGAGTCCGAAAATGTTGCGATGAGCGTAAAACTGAGTCAACAACAATGGGAGCTTGAAAATAGATTGGCTGAGATTGAAATGCAAATATGTGGATCTAGGTAATACTATAATCGTTTTAAGATTTTTTTGATATTTGGTTTGATTTTTTCAGAAAACCGTTGATTTTGATATTTGACTCCTTCCTTTTTAAGAAAAGGGGGTTGTCCCAATAAATATCCATAGAACATATAATTTTTTACTTCCCTCTACAACAGTTTTTATTATATGTCTATTTTTACGAAAATCACTAATTTCTCAAATGGTATGACCTTCATTTTTAAAGAATAATCATAAATAAATTCTAAAGCAGGTCATGACCGAAAAAAGACAGAAATACGAGACATATTCGTGTAGGTAAATCCAAACTGGCATTTAAAAAGAAGGATAATTGTATGATCCGATATACGTGAAATTTATCAAGGCCTACTTAATAAAAATTTTGGTGTATCACTATAATTAATTGAAATAAGTATTTTTTTTGGTTTCAGGTCATCAAGTAGTCTAGCCGAAGAAGAAAACGAGCGCAACAGAGAAAGCATTATTTAACAACAAAATCCGCTGCCTTACCAAATTTTGCAGGGTTTCGTGCAATATATTGTGTAACGGTGGCGAAAATTTTTTTCTACGGACCTCTAAAAACGATTTTAGTGAATTTTTAATAATTGGAATGAACTTCGTAAAAAGTGGCCCCTTTGACGCAAAATGTGGAAATAAGAGGGAAATATTATTTTTTATTGGATAATTAATTGTTAAATGGAGAATTTTTTACAAATTAATCAAAGGTTTATTATATATGTAAATGTGAATTTGTGGAATTTAAAAAATATTGGTGTTTATGGTAAAACAATGGAAAATATTGGAAAATATATACATTTCTGAAAAATATATTGATAAGTTTAAACTGTATATTGGGAAAAAAAATAAAAAATATGACATTCAACTTCACCCAAAAAGGAAAATATATTGTTTTGAAGTAAAAATGGTCAAATACATTTTTTTTTAAATTAAGAGATATGGTTTTGAAAATAATAAGAACCTAAAAAGGAAAATTCTTGAAAATTTACTACAAAATTAGTTAAACGGGTAATGTTTCTTAGAATTCTATCATCATTTCAGAACTTCTATTACATTTTATCAATTGCTTTTGGTCAATATAATCGCAAAAAAACAAAATGGTGCGTTTTGGACTAACCCCTGGATCTCGATTATTTGATTACATACGGTATTTTGGTTTATAAATCGTGGAAGCACTTTTTTGAAGTCATTGTAATAAGAAATAAAGCAAAAGAGTATCACTTAGTGTTTACGGGATAATGACTACAACTTTGTTTCTCTTATAGATGATGTATTGGATTTGTATTGCATTAAATAGCATTTTTAGTATCATTTATGAAAATGTATCACTAAATGATGTTTTTTTTCAAATGTTTATTATTTTCTTTCAGTTGAATATTCAAATAAGAAAGTTACCCATATGATTACTCTGTTAGACTATGCAGTGTCGTAACCAAAGGGTAAAATGTTAGGTGGGTGGAGGGTATTGGGCAGTCAGGAAAGTAAGTGAAGAAGATGCCGAAAATTATTTTTGTAATAAAATTTTATATTTAATTAACACTGGTTTTCAAATATCTTTATAAATATTCACAATTCGATAAAATTATCAAAAAACGAAACATTTAGTGTGATCGAAGGTTTAGAATTGCCATATTGAAAACAAATTCTTTGAGGCTAATTTAACACAGTTAATTCGAAAGCATATATGATATATCTATCTCGGCATATGTTAAGGCATATCTTTTATAGGTAAATAATTTTCCAATTTAAATTATCATCAGAAATGCCACAACTTGTAGAAAATATAACTGCTAAATATTATGCATTTAACTGTGTTGAGGAATGAGTTTGTTCCTGTTCAACTTTTGAAGGCAGCCATAAATCTAAAGCTATATATGGATATAAATCCATATTTTTACTACCTTAAGCCACATCCTACATTTGTTTGAAAATATAGGATTGGAAGAGTCATTATAGGCATTGTGACTATTCCTTTGCTGCATTAGCGATAGCAGGGGATACAATAGGTTTTTTAGGTCACAGTGCACCAATACCCCCCCCCCCCCCCCCCAACATATATCTTAATTTACGCAATACTGGTCATTTATAATAAGTAAAAGACTACAAAACAAAAGGATTACACAGAAGCACGTGTAGGGCGATTGGTGATAAATGTTAAGAGACGAAGGTGCAGGAGAACGAGGAACAATAGTGGGTATATTATAGTGGGATATAAATAGTTTAAACGTGGCACATTGCCAATGTTGTCACCTGTGTTGCCATAAATAATAAGACATTAGGGCATGTATTGTACAATACCGAATAGCTATTGTTAAGAAATGACATTGGTATTTTAAGGTAGGGCGTTGCCCATATGTGCCCCCTCTAGTTACTGCCCGGTGCTATGGTTCACGATAACGTCCGATTGAACACTTTATTCGGTAGAACGGCACTAGCTAGACAATTATTCTTAATTTATTTACGATTAAATTAATTGAACGAATATAAAAACAAGAATCTTTTGATAATTTTGGGATAATTTATAATACAAGCTTATGCAAATTAAATTTAGATAAGAAATGACTTAAAATCACTCCTACATAAATATAATGTATTGTTTACAAGACAACCGGTTTCGGCATTAGGTCATCATCAGGTCTACAAAGAAAAGAAGATCGATATTACAAAATTAAACTTATAAACTAAAAAATAAGTACATACCTAAATAAAGGCTAATAAGCGCAAACAATACTGCGTAAGATGTCTCCAACATGATTTTTTAAAAGTGTCTCAGTTACGGAAAGAGAAAGTATTGTAAGCTTACAAAATCGTTAGACAGTGAAATTACCAAGTTGAAGGAATAGTCTATCCAATAGAGGAACCAAAATATTGGGATATTGATGAGGGTGGAAAATTTAGAATGTATATAATACCAAAGTAGAGAAAGGACAGTTAAAACTCCGAAAAAAACGACATATATAAAGTGGTAGGTGAATTTACAGCCAAAGGTCTCGTTTATGTTCACAATCAGTATGACTGTGGAGAAGTTGAAAAAGTAAAAATTAAACTTCGATACGCAATTAAAGTAGAAGTTGATGTAAGATAGATCTAGTTAGACTACTAACATTCTAGTCTAGCTGGATAGTTGTCATAGGTGAAGTTGTCAATGTCACATGTCATGTCAGGCAGACGACCGGTCCATGGACACACCCTTTTTTGTTAGGTTAGTAAACCGTATTGAACTTAAAATAAAGTAGATTTATTTATTATATCCTGGCCTACCGACCTAGTATATTAGAGTGGAAGTACTCTATTTATAGAACATGGCGCTATAGGTCCACCTACCTAAATACAAAGATTGTCCAATCGGATTTCTCCTTAGTGTAGAACAAGTTGCTTCTAGCAACACTTCTAATTCTGCGGGTTTATGCAGCGATTTTATATTTCCTATATCGTAATTTTGGTTTGAAATATTGGTTGATGGTTGATGAATATCAACGTCTTGTAATGTATTCCGATTCTTATGGAGCGACATACTCAACCTTGTATGTTCAGCGCCATTTCCATTTAGTTTTCTGTTGGCTAGGTGTCCTGTTTGTTGATCTACTAAAGGTGTTTCTATGACGAGAACAAAAACTCGTCTTTGATACTGCCCTAGAGTTTGATCGCGGTAAGCTCGTCAAGCCCATTTGATTTTAGTTGATGTGGTGTCACCTTAACATGAGTAATACCGTGTTTAATGAGGAACTTGGGCATTCCAAAATAAACGAATATATCATAAAGTGCTGTTATAATACTAGTATACGAGGTGTTGCAGAAAAGTAATGAGACTGATTTTTTACTTTACAAAGTTTTTATTTCTTTTAAAGCAGTTCCCTTGGGCAGCTACACACCGATGGAGACGTTGTTTCCACTGTTCGTAGCAGTGCTGGACGTCTTTAACCATCTTCCAGCGCTGCTACGAACAGTGGGAACAACGTCTCCATCGGTGTGTAGCTGCCCAAGGGAACTACTTTGAAGGGGATAACATTGGTGTTTGAAAGAAATAAAAACTTTGTAAAGTAAATAATCAGTCTCAATACTTTTCTGCCACACCTCGTATGTAATATGTATACCATTGGCGCAATCTCTAATAAATAAGTGTAGGCGATTTTAAAAATCATCCACATTTTTTTTCAAATGGTGCAGTAAAATCCAAAAAGATATGATACCAAGGCAATGTACCCCATGAATGAAGTGGTGCATTGATATAATTTTGCCTTGATTGTTGACAAGAGTTGCACCGTTCTATTTCATAAATAATGTCACCGTTAATGTTTGGCCAATAGACGTGCAGTTTAGCCAATTATTGCATGGCAGTAATACCTAGATGACCATCATATAACATTGCGAAGACTTCTTGATGTAAGGCAGCAGAAACGCAGATATGTCCTTTCCAATATAATATATCTTCTTGAAAAGACAACTCTGATCGTTTTTCATAAAACGGAATGAGGTTTCCATCAAATGTTCTTTTTATCGGTCCAATATGCCTGTATATACTAGATAATTTTACAAAAATTTGGATCCTTCATCATTTCAAACTTTAAAATTTGCTTTTTCAATAAAAGTTTCTCTATTCTTAGGTATGGTTATCTGGTAACCCTGCTTGCTTTCTGAATGTTTGTAGTGAGAGCCTGGATAATGAGTCAGCAGGACAATTCTGGTTCTGTTATGCTAGAGACACGCTTTTAGGACAAAATTGTTTGTAAATAACGGCAGCGTCTGTGTATTTTTGCTTAGTGTCCTTTAACTGTAGCCAAATAATCTTCAAAAAGATCAGAAAAGTCACATATCATAACATGTCATGAATGAAAATAAATGGTGGTATGCATGAAACGTATTACATGCTAATAACGGGAGTCCAAGCGGGGATTTCGGGATTTACTAAAGCGCGGCAGATTAATGTACAGGGGGATACCTTGTACCCGGTTAAGTACCTCCACCAAATATGAGCCCCATATACAAGGCCGCCCGTGAAGAATAAAGGATCAGATTAGTAAAAAAAATTGATCATCAGAAATTCTCGAGCGCGTCAGATTAAGGTAGGGTAAGTTAACTAGATGCTAAAAAGTGTATATTCCACTAATCTGACAATTTGATACTAACGTATAGAAAGGGCAGGGCAGCAAAGTTGTAATTTTTTTTATTTTGAAGGAAATAATTCAAGGATAACAAAAAATATATAATTTGACGATTTCCGCAAGCCGAAATAACAAAAATTTGTCGATAAAGTTTAATGCGTGCAGCTGCATGATGCCTATATTTCCCTCTCCGCGTTTCTATTCCTCTCTCACTCAGTCCCGGTTTATCCGCTGGACGCTTGGGAATGGCGCTCAGGGGCCCGATCCCCAGAGGGGCCCGGAGGAGTCTGGACCCTATAGCAATTAAAAAATATAAATTAGGTAAAAAATTTGAACAATACGTTCCCCAATATTTTAACTTTACCTCAAATTTAGATACCAATTTATAATGCTTCTTTTTTTTAAATACTATTAAAGAAATGCCCCGTTTTGGAGGCGTGTCAAAGAAGATATTATAATGCCTTGTCAATAACGCTGCAAGTAGATTTGCCATTGTATTTAATCGCTACTTCACACCCTCTATCAAAGATTATGAGCATTTTATTCGAGGTAGTGTAGACGACAAGGAATTCCACATTTCCGGTCTTCAACAAACAATAACAGCAGATTTTACAAAAGATTTGAAAAATATAAAGTTTAAGGAAACTATAGTCAAGTTTTTGATCGATCATTGGGCTGATCAGGAGATGGCAGCGATTATCGGTAGTGAGGTAATTTATATAATACATGATTTGTGTTATGACTATTCTGTTACTGATAATAAAGTAACACGCATCATTAATAATGAGTTGTCATGCCCTGCTCACGAAAAAGTTGATACGAAGATAGCATTTCTTGCTTGCCAACTGAAGATTCTACTATTACTATCAGAACTTCTGATACTCACATAGTGGTTATCATGTTAGCGAATATGGAACACCTGCAAGCAAGAGTAGAAGTTTGGATGGATCTTGGAGCTGGAAATGCACGCCAATTCATCGACGTATCCGCTCTCTACAAGAAATTAGGCCCAAAAATTTCGAAGGCACTTCCAGCTTTGCATGCGTTCACTGGTTGCGATTTCAACCCAGCATTGTACCGACGAGGGAAAAAGAAACCTTTGCAATTTCTGATGAATTCAGAAATTTTCCAAGAAGCATTTCTGGATTTGGGATCAAAGGAGCATAATGTGCAGGATTCTTTTAACATCATACAGTCTTTTACTTGCCACTTGTCAGATTAGGCGAATCCCTCTTAATAATCGTCAGATTATGAGACAGCACGTCTAGGACATAAAGACGAACCATATATATCTTAATCAAAATGGCGAATTTTTTTTGCACATTATAATAATGGCCGCGAGTTTGCGTCACATCGAAATTGTCAGATTAATAAATGAAAGCTTTTTTTTGGTTAATTTAACACCCCCTTAGAAAATCTGACGCGCTTGATTAATTTTGTTTTTTTTTTTTTCATTTTCAACCCTTACGTACAACCACCCTCATCATGCAAACGATCAGATTACCATACGTACATTATTAAAAATACGTAGGACATTGATGCTATCAATATCTGACGCGCTCGAGTATGTCCATGTAACAGTATTTTTTTACATATTTAAAAATCTATAGCCGCTTTCCCCACCGATGAAAAAGTATTTCTTTTTATCATCTAAGCTTTGCAACCCAATAGGTCTCTATGACGCTCAAGTAAATCCCCATTTAGCAATGTGGGCTCCTCCACTATAATGGTCCGCAAAGAAGTATCTACTAGCATAGTGAAAAGTAGTACCAGACTAGATAATTTATACTGATTGACTATAACTTCGGTGTAGAGTCCAGTATCACCGCTTTCGACGATGGTGTTTTTCGGATTTTCATCACCTGTAAGTCAAATGGTGCGATCAATCATCTTTAAGTCGCTCCCGAGTGCCACGGCAAATAATAATAGCCGTCTTTTCCCCTACACAAGTGGCTCAGTCGGTTTCAGGGGTTGAAATTTACTCGTAAGGAGGTTAATTGGGGAGAGTATTATTATTATTATTATTATTAATATATTATTATTATTATTATTATTATAGTGGCATAACATTTAAAGAGAGTAACCATGTTACCATAGTCGGTTATTTGAAAATATTATTAACAACGTAAACCAAATAATAACAAATTAAACCAAAAAGAACAAATTAACGAATTCAAAATAAACGAATTAAATGTAATGGAAACAACATAGAAGAGAGTTCCAATTATACTAACTAAAATTTGACAGTTCTAAGTTAAACAAATTGTTGGCTCGCCTACTAGACTATTCAAGCTCATAAGAAAATTTGTTTTTCTAAGTTAAACAAATTGTTGGCTCGCCTACTAGACCGTTCAAGCTCAAAAGAAAAATTTGTTTATTTCAGCATTTTTTTAAAAGAAAACACCATGTTATAAGATATTTTTGAAAAGAGATTAAAAAATGCTATTTAATGAAATACAAGTCCAATCTGGCGTCCATAAAAAAAAGAAAGTTATAGTTATTATCTTAAGTATGATAAGAGATATTCTTTTGCTTTATTTTTTATTACAAAGAACTTAAAAAAATACACATAATATATATAAACCAAAATACTGTTGGTTATTTAATATAACTGAGATAAGGGGGTTTGTCAAAAACGCACCATTTTGATTTTTGGCGATTATTTTAAAAACCAAAAACAACTGATAAAATGTAATACCAGTTATGAAATTGTAATAGAATTCTGAGAAACATTGCCAAAATAACCGTTTATGTAGCTCTTATAATTACCGAGACACATCATCAATCTGACTGGTATATTTTATTGTTTTTACTTCTAAATACATATTTTGCCTTGATTTACATTGAACTAATTAAAGATTATTATAATTTGATACCAACTTATCAAACCTATAACTAATTAAGAGTAAGTTCTTAATTTTTTAAATAATTTTTGGGTAAGTTACTTACAGATAAACTTCATACCTAAAAAAGAACTAATTTATAATTCAATAGTAATTTCGACTATTTAAAACGATTTATATTTACTAAAACTTCTCCAAATAGAACAAAACGTTGCATATTTATATTTAAAATATTTGAAAATCAAATGATTCGACTAAATCTAAAATTATCAAGCATTTTAAATGTATACCGATAAAAAATAATATTTTCCGAATTTCCACTTTGCAAAACAAATGAACTAAAAAAAATGGACATTAACACATCTAAGTGAATTGTTCACCTTAATGACTGCCAAATTTTGTGTAAAATACCTTTAGATAGACATAGAGGACTAAGGATAAAAATTTGTAGAAACAAATTTTATATGAACAAACGAAATGGGCATAGTCACAGAGAAATCAACTATTTCTTACAAATTGTTCAAAATTGAGATTGACATTCTTATACATTGTGAACGTTTAAAACAAATTCTGTAAATTATATAGCCATCAAACATTTAAACACCTTTTTCGTTTAGCAATTTTTACTAAGACGTTAGTCAAGTATGTAATGCGGCGTTTAGAACACTATTAAGGCCCCGCATGCGCGGCAATTATTGTGTAGTTGGCACTCACGGTTCGTAAACTGAAACGGTGGGCTCATTACGGTTGCTAAGGACGCAGTGACGTCACGGAATGAAAAAGTGAGTTGATAGAAAATATTCTACTAGGAGTCGTACATTAGTTTTTAAAAAATCTAATATTTTATTGTTACTTAGTGGTGTTTATGTTTTTATTTTCGAACTATGTTCTAGTGTTTTAATATTATCAGTAGTTTGATTTTTTGGAAAAATAAGGAAAAATCATGTAATGATTTCCATCAAATTTCAAATGCATTACTTTTTATTTATAATATAAAGATTAATGTTATTGCGTAAATGGTTTATTTTAAACGTTTTGGCTTTGGGGACACCCTCTGCGCCGAATTCGTATCACACTTTATTTATATCCTGAAATATTTTGAAATTTTGGCATGCCTGTAGCGGCCGTGGGCAAACAATCTTTGCACACAAAAATCATTAGAAAAAACTGAAGAAAGGGACCTTACGAGCATAAACTGAAATTAAAGGCTAATGGTAATATTTTAGAGTAGGGGAGATCGGGATAAGATGACGATACTAAGAGAAAATGAAGAAACAAAGAAAAGTAGTTTATTTGAAAGTTAAATATACCCGGAGTAAGTTGACGAACCTATTGGGGTAAGATAACTATACACAATAATCACAACAGAAACTGCCAAAACTCTCATAGCTCATGCTTCGTGCCACCATGATATTTCAGATGGTGGGTCGCTATATTCTTCGTTACATGCAGGGCAAAAATATTTAATCTCACTACTGGGACCTGCAATATCAGTAGCGCTGGGATAATCAGAACTGAGACCAGTAGCACTGGGATGATCAGAACTGAGCCCAGAAGTACTGGGACCAGCAGAACTGGAATCTGCAATATAAGTAGCACTAGGTAATGTTTTTCGACATTTTTATCCTCTATTTTTTTGAACTGTAGATTTCTTCTGTATTTTCAATTTTCTTTTCTTGTTTTCATTTTTTTGTACTTTTTTCTTCAATATCTCTTTATTTTTATTTCTAGTTGTAACTTCATTAGAGTTCCACTTATAACAGAAGATGACAATTTTTTCCAGAGTTTGAGGACCTTCCAGATATTGCAATTAGCCAAATAGTAGGAAGGGGCTCATTTTAAGTATCTTTATCTGAAAAAAGTTTACGTTTATGTGTTTCTATTTGACCTTTGATTAAAGTTTTAACTGTTTCATTTGATGTGATCTGTTCAGGTGTAATAAAAGATTAAATTTTTTTCGCCAACATACTCAGAGGTAGTTGATCCTCTTCATCAGATGACGACGAATCCGTATTTTTTATTGACGACATGGCATCGTCATCATCACCATCATTTATCAAAAGGGTACCGTTGACCTCAGGTTTTTCATCACGTTCAGTTGTTTTTGAAGGTAAGAAATCACTGTCATTAAAAACCTGAGAGCTAAAAGACTCAATTCCACAAGCTCTAAAGCCGTTTACAGCATTATTTACATTAGCTGCCCTGCAGTAAGCCTCCCTGAACAAAGGTCCTATATTTTTGTCAGTTAGTGGAGTTCCTGGATAACTTATTAGAAACGAATCACACATTTGATTATAAAATGCATTAAAAGGTCCGAAATACGAAACGTCAAATGGTTGTAATCGGTGGGGAGGAAATCCTACAAGCACAATTCCATTTTCTCGGCAGAAGTTGATTCCAGGAAGGGAAATATGGGAAGTGTGATTATCAACCAATAACAATACGGGATCATCAACAGACGGTTTTGTGTAGTGCGCAGTGTCTTAAGTAGGCAAGAAAAGTTTCTGCCGTCATCCAGCCTAAAGGTTGTGCCCTACCATCAGAATTGGGAAGACTACCATTTAACAACTCGGGTTTAATTCTAACTCGTACAAATATCAAAAATTGTGGTACGTATGATCCGACAGCATTCATGGCACACACCAAAGTTGTATTTCGACCTCTCAGCTGTCACTATATTAGCAACTCGTCGTTGTCCTGTTGGAGTGATGATTATTGAAAGCTTCGTTGGCACAGTTAAAAGACCAGACTCGTCTGGGTTGTAGATGCGGTCTGCTTAAAATGACCCCCGCCCTCCGGGAACTCTTCATCTCGATCATCTGTCTTTAAGTATCTTCATAACGTAGACTCAGGAATATCGTAAGTTATTGCAGCTGCGTTACAACTTAAAGATCCTTCGTGTACTTCCCTCATAGCTGCTACAAGGGAGTCTTCACTTCATTTTTTACGAATGGTTTTGCGCTTGTACATCCGCGGCATTCTATAAAAGAATACTGGCCTTATTGTAATGCTTGCGTGCATGGGTGGGGTAAGATGACGAGTGATTTTCCTTGCTGTTTTGTAACTTATCTTTCAAAAAATAAAACTAACGATATTATAAAATTTCTAACACTAGAATAAAGTTTAAAAATAAAATAAACCCCACTTATTAACATTAAAATATTAGATTTTTTTAAAGAAATAATTTACGACCACAAGTAGAATGTTTTCTGACTTTTGCATTATGTGACGTCACACCCCCGTCCATGGCAACTGGACGAGGTAACCGTTCCGTCTATGAATCGTGGTTTGCACTAACCTAACCTGTTGACAATACAAGTGTCAGCTGATTAATAAAAAAAGATCACTACTTAGTATATGGAACAAACGACATTCAATGTAAAACAATGTTAAACAATCATTTAGATATCATTTATAGCAAAAAAACATGTAGTAAGAAAGACTTAAGCCTATATCTCTGCTATTATTGGCCTGAATCGAATGAAGAAAACTCAGGGATGATTCGACATCTCATATAGATGCATTTTTTCAAAGCATACAATATACAGCGATGGTGATGATAGTGACGACGATGACGAACGACAATGACGAACGACAGTGACGAACGATGATGTACGACGATGGTGAACGACAGTGGCAAACGATGATGTACAACGATGGTAAACGATGATGAACGACGATGATAACAACCAAGAGATAGATTTAATGCGCAGTAACACTGCCAAAAAGATATTAACGTATATCTTAGGTATTATTGTTACTATTCGAATGAAACAAACTGCATTCAACGCAAACTGTTATTTACAATAAAAATCTTTGTTTAGCTATTAGTCATGTTAGTTTTCTTTTAACTATCATCGTCGGTTATACTTTTTTTAGCTGTAGGAAAGCTTAGGTTAGTGATCTTTGTTTTAGTTATTGACATAGAGGTTAGAAACCACTTTCTGACCGGTGTCACTTAGATTAGATGTCACCTGTCAATTGTGATCAGGTTAGGTTAGTACCAACTTTACAAAAATTGTCGCGCATGTGTAGTTTGAAAACGGTTTTAAACTCTTTCATTACCTACTCATTCAACATCATTAAGATATTATCATGATTTTTTTTTTAAATATTAACATCAAATGTTGGCTTCTTTAGTTGCTTGTTTTTTATTTTGTGAAATTATTTGGCTACAATGCATCCGAAATAATTAGCCGGGTGACCTTCTCCACAATGGACAAACTTTGCAGGAGCATTTTTTGGTTTATCACACTCCACTGTTAAATGTTTCCTTGTACATCTAACGCACTTTGGTTTCTTTTGAACTTTTTTTTTGTATGTCCATATGCCTGACAAAATGTACATTGAGGAACTAGTTTAGTTTTTCTAATAGGCTAAATGTCAATTCTTATACCTACCCATGAAATCTTTTATACTAAATATTTTATTGACATCTTCATCATTACTAAATGATAGCATGAACATATTCAGCGGCTGTTTGATTCTATATTTTAACTTTATCGCTGCTTCAATTATTTTATATATTTTAATTCATTAGTTATTGTATTGTCAATAATTTTCAGCAATTATTGCCTTCTTCCGGAACATTTACCTTGAAATGTTTGTTTTTAATGATCTTTATTTGAAAAGTCACGTGATTCGTATGCCACAGATTCTGTCGTACGCGTACGTTGAGCGTCGCGCACTTTCTTAATAAACGGTGCTCGGTTATTTGACACAACTGTACTCATCGGCAATCAAATGAATATAGTAATAAAGTCTTACTGGATTTGTTTATAGGAAACATTAAACGTAAATAATAGGTACAGAACATATCAAAAAATATAAAAATATATTGTATCGCAAGATACAGATTTAGACCTTTTGCTCCTGTTTTTTTTTTTTTTTTAATTATAATAATCTGCAGGAAATTTAGGTAAATGATCTTTGCTGATGATTTTTTTTTATAAATTTCTTTATCCACCAAAATGTGGTTGGTAAGTTGATTTTCATTGAGAACGCTACTAAAAGTACATATTTATTTACGATACCAATTTTAAACGTTCGCTCTGTATGTAATTTTTGTTTTTCTCCGACATTTTTATTTAGAATACAAACGGGGGGTAAAAATAATATATAAAACAAAATTGGAAAAATCGTTTGTTTATTTTTATTTTAATACATATAATAAATATAAAATTGTAGAATAAATAAAAAATATCAACACAAAAAGAAATGACGAAATTTTTCTATGACATGCCAAAATGTACATAATATGGATGTAAATTTCACTTTAGAGTCCAAAAATAAATTCAACCATTTAGATCAAGATATTATTAATTTGTGAAATTATTATTCATCCTTATCATTAATATAATTATCTCACCTAAGAAGCCTTCGATACCCATTTGGCCTAAAAATGTATATATACGTATATAAAATATATATTTAAAGATAAACAATTTTTATCCTTAGGTACCAAAATAATTTTTCTAAGGAAAGTGTGTAAAATGGAAAGCGTTTAAATTTTAATGTATGTATTTTTGAACCAAACAAAATAGATGTCAAGAGGAAAAAAATAACAAATATGTCTATACTAAAAAAAAAATCTGCTATAGATAAAGCTAGGTTAGCATGGACCAAATATTGGTTAAGATTTTGTGTCTATCGTAGTATTATAGTAGTATTGACGAACTGACGAAGATTCAAACACTTAAGACGCAGATCTTTTTATGGTGTTATTGTGTTTACCGTATATTTTCAAAATAAGCTCCAGCCTCTCAAGGTGTTTACCAACGTTGGTCCAAGATTAACTTCTGAGCAAAGACGCGTTTTCGAAATGCATTAAGTTTTTATAATCTACAAACTTGTTTTATACTTTTTCAACGCGAACAAGATATTCGATAATATACAAGGTGAGTCAAAAAGGAATGCAAATATTTTAAGAGGTGATAGAATAATAAAAATTAAGGTTACATTGCTATATAAACTGATGTTCGAAAAGTTTTAAATAAGGGAGATAAGCCAATTAAAAGAGGAATGAAAAAGCCTGTTTTTCAGTCCTGACCTCCAGCCGGAGGTCTTAACTTAAAAGTTATATACAATTTGATTTGATTGTAAAACAAAAAATATATTTTTTTGGGGGGGTAGTTTAAGGGGGTGGGTTGGGTATTATTACCCTTATTTTTTTAATTTTATCTTTTTAGAAACATTGGTTGAGAAAAACAAATTTCCATAGTTTTTCCTTCTTCCTTCAGCCATCTTTTCGCAGACCGCAGTTGGCCCGTCAAATATACTGTAAAATTCTTTGTTTTACTGGGGAATATACTAGATTATCTATTTCAAATTGTAAACTTTTTATATTGATGGGAACTTTGGCAGTATAGGCTTTATATATGCCTTTTCGGCTGGAAGATTCGCCTTGGACCTGGCAGGCTTTGCTACTGAAAAAATTGACGAAATGAGCCCATCTTTATAATGTTTACACTACAAACTACAATAAACAATTCACTGCTGATTCAACAACAAATCATTTCCAACTGAAATTTTATAGGTGATGTCACGCGAAAACATATTGCTGCGCAGTGTAAAGCCTTGGT